AAGAGCGTCCAACTAGAAGGAATCAAAATGATGCAAACGGGATTTAGGGTTCACTTTGGAGGTACCAGAATCATCAAAGGATTTAGGATACATTTAGGGATTTCTTTTTCTGATTCTTTTAAGAAGGAAATGAAAAGATTTTTTTATCTTTTGAGAGGGAAATACTTGTAGAGTCACATGCTAATTTCCTTTTGTTTTAACTTTTAGAGAAAAAATATTTAAATGGGAAAATATTTTTTAATTAGAGGAGGTTATAAACCTTTGCAAATTAAACAAAAAAATGACAGATTTTAATAATTTAAGGAGGGTTTTAAAACCTCCGCAAAATAACCTCCACTATTTATCATTTTTTTTGTAGTATTTGACGAGATAAAAATGATATGATAAAATATAAAACATGTTTAGATAAACTTACATAGAAGTACTTATAAAAAAAAATAGAAGTGAAATAAATTTTTTTATAATTTAAAATTAATTTATATATAAGTTAATTTGTAAAAATTTTCTCATATAACTTCTTAAAAAAAATTAAACTTATAACGTGTAAAAACTTATCTCATTTTTTCTATTAAAAAAAGTTTTAGAGAAATTTATCTAACCACACTTATAATCATGTTTAAATGTCTTTAAACTAGATATACTGGCTTATTTATAAAAAAAATGAGACATTCACATTTATAGATAACTTATGCCACGGCCAATAGCTAGGCAAAACGCATATTCCCTATACCTAACAAATACATAACAAAAAGAAAGAGAGAAATAAAGAATGGAACTAAGTATGCAGAAGTTAACAACAATGGTAGTTGTAGAGAAACTTTAGTTACAAGTGAATCACTCATCACACTCTCAAACATACTTTTGGTTAAGATTTATTGGTAATTATTACATTTTGCGAAGCTTACTTATTTTACATAATTTTATAGTTTTAATATTAAAATAAAAGTGTGCTAAAAACTCGTCTCTGTTATAATTCATAATTGTCACTATTTTCATGAGTAATGGAACTTGACAAAGTTCCATTTGTAATTGTAAAAGATTGAAAAGAGAATAAGAAGGAAATGATGTTGGGCTTTTGAAGCTGGAATATCCAGTTCACATCCTATTGGGAACAGGCTTTTTGCAAACCTGGAATGTTTACGAATCTCCAATTTCACCCCATCACTTATAGCATGATATTGACACGTTTGTGTTTCTTTAAATTATTTTTTTAATACGCACTTTGTATTTTTATGTGATAGAACAATTTTATATTTTTATTGTTTACCCATATATAATAGAATGTTGCTTTTAGATTTGCAGGATGATTTTTATGACATTTTATTTTTAAATGCCTGACTTTATTATTGTTTGGCATTCTTTTTATGTTTTTTTTTTAAGATTATAATTTTTTTAATTTCATTTTTTTTTAAAAAACTACTTCTACTTTAACTAATTATTTTTGATATTTTATGAAAATATTTTTTTCTCCCTCAATTCTTAATTATTTATGTTGAGATAAAGGAAAAAGTATGTTTTAGCAAATATATTCAATGGTGGTCATGACATATCCGATGACAATATTTACATGAACTTTAATACTAAAGTTATTTTATGATCAAGAAGTGTATAAAAATGAATCAAATGTCACATACCTAAATCAGAATCGACCCAACATATTAAGTGTAAAGCAAATCTTAAAATGACACTTTTAAAATTTAATGATAATATCTTTTGATAAAAAAATTAAAATATTTCAGAGATGAGCCTTGAAAAAAATTATATTTGTATATCTTTTGGAGATGAGTTTTTAGAATGAAAATTTTTAAAAATACAAAAGTAACTTTTAAACTGAGGTTTAAAAAAATTATATAAATATTAATATAATTTTTTTTTTTGAAGAAACCTAAAAGAAGAACTTTGTTCGCGTCACACTTGGATCAACCCTAACCTAAACATGAGAACGCCTTTATATAGAGGTTCGTTCACATTAATTATTTTAGATAATTTGGAATATCATGTTGGATGTTAGGTGTTAAAAGTGAATGTCAAGTATCTACATTAATAGAGTTCACAACCATGAGACTACAAAAAAACAAATTAAGACAGAAGAATCACTACTATAATTTATTAAGGAAAATTATAGAAAAACCTAAAAATTATCTTGAACCAAAAACAATATTTGAGATATTTATTATGTGTAAGAAATATATTAACATCATCCAATATCCATTTAAAGATGATTATCTTAATTAAATGTATAAAATTAATATAACTTAAAATTTGTTTATGTTACCCCTAAAAATAAAATAAGATATATATATAAACTTTTTTTTATTCATATGCCACGACTCAATCAAATTTTTTTAACTAATTTAAGATTTTTTATTACAATATAAAAATATCAAAAATTTAAAAAAGAAAAAAGATTTTAATATTCAATGTTTTACTTAAAAAAAAAGGAGAAAAAAAATGTGAATTAAGATAGAAAAGATACATAGTTCACTAAAGAGAAATTGATTTTAATTTTTAGAAAAATATCTTTCACATTAAACTTTAGAACAATGAAAAATTATACAAATTTTATGGCAGTTCCAAAAAAAGCGCACTTTTATATCAAAAATTTTATTTTTAAGGATTTATTATCCAAATTTTATTATTTAAAATAATTATTGTTATTATTATTATCACATTTTTAAATCGACAAAAATACATCCAAAATCAACATAAAAATCACAGTCTCCATATTTTGTTATCTAATTTAAATATTGATTAAAGGTACTAATCTAGAGCTAAAATTTTCTACAAAATAGGTTGCTTAATAATTGTAAAATACTCTAATAGAAACGTACTTTAAATTAAATTTCTGTGATATCCAAATATGTAACGAATCTTCACATGAAATTCACTAAATTTATAAACTCTATTTCATTAACTTGTACTAACACTATTAAACACAATTTAAGCATTAGAAATAAACAAAATAAATAACAAAGAGAATAAATTATTTGAAACCAAAAAATATCGCATAATAACAATTATGATGCCATTGGAAATGCCAACTCATTACTCATATGTGAAGTTGTCAAGTCACCTAAAATTTATTTATTTTTTACTTTTTACAAAAACTTGGTAAAAGGACTTACTGAAATTGACGATGATGTAAAATTGAAGAACTCAAATGACATAATTAAAATATGATAAAAAAAAACTACATAATTATATTTAATATTTAAAGAACAAAAAGTTTTATTAAGAAAAAAAATTATAAGTGATTTTCACTAAATTTTCATGACAAAATATGACTTAATTACATAATAATAATAAAAAAATCAAATTTCATGATGAAATATGTTTAATATTATATATATATATATATATATTAAACATGGTTATAATTTTTTAGGCATCATTTTTCAATAAGAACTTTTTGACTATTTTTTAATGAGAACATTTTTTAAAGATTTTTTGTAAGTTTATTTTTATATTATTTAAAAAAATTATAAATAATATTATATATATAAATAAATTAGAATAATCCTCCTAAACTATAGTTATTTTAAGGTTATTTTTCAATGAGGGTTTTTTTAATTATTTTTTAAAAATTATTTTTTAAAAAATTCTTAATCTTTTATGTCTTTCATTTTATCATTCTTGGTTTTATTCATAAATCAAATTTTAATATTTAAAATTATTAATGATTAAAATAATTTTGTATCACAATGTACATCATTTATAATAAAATTAAAATATAATTTATATGATAAAAATATTTAATATTTTTATATAAAATAAAAATTCATCTAATATATTACACATGATAAAATATTAATTATAATTAAGATAATATTACCTTCGTTCCTATTTATAAAACCTGACTTAAAATAATTATATGTTATTTTCATATAAAACTTAATTCATAATATTTGATGTATTAGTTATTTTTAAATTAAAATTTCCCTAATTAAAACATGCTCTTAATTTGTTGGAATACATTAATTATAGATCCTTTAAAAGATATGCATTCTAATTAGTTAGGAGAGTAAAAAATTTTATTATGAGAGATAAGTAATATATAACATGTATTTTATTTGGTTAAAAGAAATATGAATATTGATTAAGAGAGAAAAGTAGTATAAAGTTAATTTTAGAAAAAAAATATAGAAAATAAAATTTATTATTATCAATTATATTAACTATTTTTTTAATATTGGTGAATTAGGTATTTGAGTAATATATAGGAAATAAAATAAAGTAGTATGTATTAAAATAAAATAAAAACATAACAATAGTAAAAAAGAAAGAGAGAAAGAAATACTCACTTTCACTCTCTTTTCCCTTCATATTCAAACAAGAATTGTCTTGATGTCTAGTGATTTCAAGTAAACTTGTACTATGAATAATGTTTGAATTTACTTCGACTTTGACAAGAATACTCTATTTGACTGAACATGGATAAGGATACGGGTAATATCAAATTTATTAAATTTGGTACAAAGATAAATATGAGCATATACTTATCCATCCCATATTTACTTTAAATTTCTAAAAATTTAATATATTTTTTTTAGAATTTACTTGAAATTTATGTGATTTTTACTCCATTTTAAGTTTATGTCAAAAGAATTTTAATTAATATAATTTTGTAAATGTTACTCTAAATTAAAATTCTTATATTTTTTTACAAAAAATATTTAATTAATTTTTAAATAAATACAAAAAAATACAAATATATTTTATATCTAACAAAATTAGAGATGAGACAGAAATTTTATATTTATTAAATATAAAAACAAAAATTAGTATAAAAAATAATATATATATATATATATATATATATATATATATTTTGCTGATTTTATGATCTATAACAATTGTTATTTTGCAGTCACCTTGATAACTCTTCTAGAGATATTGCCTTCGAATAGTAGAAATAAAAAAAATGACTAAAATATTATATTAATAATCTAAAATAGTAGAACATAAAAATATAATAAAATTTATAAATAAT